TGTACCTGTGATGGCGTGTTATGTCAGTTCAAACACTTTAACAGAACGTGCACGACCAAGTGGCTGTTCAGGATTTCATTTGTTTGGTGTCATTTACAGTTACATATCTATGGCTGTACAATGACCTCCTATGTCATTTGGCTGGATTAGTAACAGAGAGTTTATCAGTTGTACGTAAATATGTATTGAGTGGTATCTTTGTTTTGTTGTAAAGCATTTTGTTGTAAATAAGCTATTTTATGAATAAAACAAATAAGTGCTTAATATTTATTGTAATATTTGTAAACCAAACATACACAAAAATACCCACTGTTTATATTTGGTATAACTTCAATACTGTAAAGGGTCTGTACCTTTTATTGTACATTTTGTCTGTACATTTTTATGCAGTAATTAGAAGTTAGGTTCACCTTTGATCATTACCAGATGCTGGATCAGGGGGTGTGTGAGCAGAGGTCAAACTGCTGTGGCAGTGAGAGTTAAACCTGCAACAAAACACGTCCTTATTTCCAGGGTGTCAATATTTGACGCCCCAAGAATGAAGTACTGAAGCTAAAGGGTGTCTTTGGCCTCCATATAGGACACTCTGGGTTTTGACTACATAACTGTGAGTGAACACTGTATTGAAAACCAAAAAGGTACTTCATACATCGTCAGAATTTGACGCCCTGGAACGAGGACAGGCTCGTGTATCTACTGTAATCTACTACACATCAATTTATGCAGACTGGACAGTTCTAAATGTTATACTCAGATTTTTTGATGAGGAAAAACTCCATGCAAATTCTTATGCTGATCAATTGTGGCCCTTTTATCTGTATTTATTTATCAAAATAAACAATTCAAAATCATTCTAAATGTGCTGTATTAGTATGCTCCGGTACATTTCACTGCCAAACTAATCTCCAGCATTATACTAACATTTCATTTCATTAGAACTGATTCGTTTCAGCAATTTTTATGCTTTTTTTGTCCAAATAGCCTGTATTTATGAAATTAAGGATTATTCGTTTCAGCAATTTGTATGCTTTTTTTCAAATAGCCTGTATTTATGAAATTAAGGTACAGTATCAGTCCCTTCGTGTCAGCCTATAGGGCCAAAAGGAATTTACAGTAAATAAGACAGATACTGCATGACTGAGCTGTGTGTACACAAGTTTAACCCCATTCAGATCAAGAACGTTTGAGCGCTGTGAAGGCGACAAAAACACCAATATGGAAGCCACTTCTACACTTTTGTTATCTGATAAGAAGTAGAAACCCATCTAGATCTGACAGTGAGAGATTTGGTTTGTGCGCCTTCAGCCTGATCATTGTTAATCCACCACTTTAATGTTTTTGACAGTTTGGAGACTTATGAAATTGGACGGTGTTTCCACACGCTGTTTTAGTGAAATACTCCAAAAGATCGATTGGCATTTGTTGCGGAAACAAGACAAGTTAAAAGATAATAAATTCAAACGTACCAGCAGAAGTTGGAGGATGTCTGTCGCCGTGATTCCCAGTGTCTTTAATTTGCAGCCGTAATGGATTGCACCTGCTGCAAGTGGATTCACCTGGTCTCAGGAAACTGGCAGCAACTGCATAAATACGGAAGCGCTGGTTGTGGCATATTGCTTTTTAAACTTAACATAACCTGGGACTTTTTTTGTATTTTGTTCTTTTTAATAATGCCTCCTAAAAAGCCAGCAGCAACGGACACTGCTGATCCGCCTGTGCCATCCTCCAGCGATGCTCCGGTGAATGAGAAGGCTGAGAAGCCAACAGGTCTGTACGCAAATGATAGTGAGTCAGGGACATGTGGCCATTTAAGACCATTACTGATTATTAAAGCTGTGTAGCCGACATTAAATCCATCTTTCTCCACAAATGTATAAATGCACCGTTTTATCCCTAGATGCTGCGACTCTGCGCAAACTGGCAGCTCATCCGTCCACAGCCGTAATGGTGAGAGAGGCACTTAAAGAGTTGGACACGCGCAAAGGGCTTTCTTCTCAAGCAATACAAAACTATATTAAACACAAATACCCTTCAGTGGATTTAGTGAGGTTGAAGCACTTGGTGCGTAGAACCCTGAAAAAAGGAATCGAGGACGGCACGTTGACGCGGCCTGCCAACTCAACTAGCACTACAGGCGCAATGGGAAAATTTAGGGTAAGATGCCTAGTTTACAGCATCATGAAAGGTCAAGTAGGATAGTTTATTAATCAGACTTTTGCCTTCTGGTTTAAGCTGGCACCAAAAGCAAAGGAACCAAAGACAAAAACCGAGAACGTTGATCCAAATGTGCAGAACCCTCCAAAACCAGCCAAAGACGGAGCCAAGAAGCCCAAGAAAGCAGGTATAACAAATGGTGAATCTGTGCAACCAATAATCCAAGGTTTGCCTTGTTCTTTATCCCTTTATTTACACCTTTTTTTTTAATAAAGGTGCGCTGAAGAAAGAGCCTACCAGCGACCAAACGAAATCCAAGGTGACAGACACTGTCTACTGTCCTCTGAATGCTCACCAGGGTATATTTTTGTGGGGAAATGCACAATTAACTTGATTCCTGGAAGAATGGCTTTTTACTAGTTCTAAAATTCTAGGGCACAAAACATGCTTACAGTGGCCGGGCATGGCCTACTTGCTCTTATGGCATGTCCTGTGTTTGTAGAACATGATGGCTAATCATATGCATTTGTTTGGAATTGATCTTTTAAGATTCTGGCTACAGCCTTGTCTCTTACTCTTTCCTTTTGTGAAGGACTCAAACCCTTCAGAGAAGTCAATGACCGACGAAGATGCTGCCGCTGCCCCAAAAATTCCCCCAGCAAAGAAGCCAAAAGCTAAAGTTGCTGCAGCACAAAAGGATGGTGAGGGCAGCTCCAAAACCAAGGCTGCAAAGACTACCAAGGGGCCAAAGGCATCACGGAGCAAGGCTGCTAAAGCAGATGGTGATGCGCCTGCATCTAAAGCAACTGGAAAAAGAGGGAAGAAGACCACAGAGTAAATTGTTTTTATATCTGGAAGGGGTTTATACTGTCTTGAAATAAAATCTTAACTTTTGGGTGCATGTGTAAGTCTTAGCATTTGTAATATCATTCTGCTTATGTCAGGACAATATTTGAGCTTCAACATGGCTAGCTGTAGTGGCTGTACAAAGCAGCCTGCTGTACATCATAAGAGTAATTTCATGCAGACTTCGCAGCATTCAAACAAGGTCTGAGATTCAGCACTATCCCCTAGATTTAACTAATGCAGTTAACACAATATCATCTTTCAGGAATGGTCAGTTTTTAACCACCTTGAGCTGTTCACCTGTACAGCCACTTTGAATGTCTCTGCTGTTGAAGTGTATGTAATATACAAGAGTATAGTCTAGTGATGGGCAGATGAAGCCTTTCATCCAATTGGTTCACTCCAGCGCGAAGCTTCATTTGCTCTAGTAGGACATCTACTGGATGCAACCATATCAGTTGGCATGAATTTGAAGTGTGTGGCATTTTGCAGAAAGCCTGTGACAAACTGTCAGCACAATAAAGTACGCAAAACATGTATATTGTAGTGATGACAGTATTGTGTGTGTGTATATACTGGCAGTATGGAAAATGATTATTTGGAAATGATTACGGTGAGGGTGGTTGGGGTATGGACAATGATTGTGCTTTTGTCATTTTGCAGAAAGCCTGTGACAAACTCTCAGCACAATAAAGTACGCAAAACATGTATATTGTAGTGATGACATAGTGTGTATATACTGGCAGTATGGAAAATGATTATTTGGAAATGATTACGGTGAGGGTGGTTGGGGTATGGACAATGATTGTGCTTTTGTAACTTTGAGGTATGGCCAGTGATTATGGTTTAGGGGACACATCATTGGTTTTTATTTAAAACCAGTTTCTGTGGCAGGTCTTAGGCGATTTCTTTTTTTTGACTATTTCTCCTGCTTTGGAAAACACCCGCTCACAGAGCACAGATGAGGCAGGCGTACACAAGAATGCCACTGCTAACTTATATAAATGGGGATAGACATATTTCTGTCTCCCAGTATTGAAGGGGGTCCTCCAGCCTTCCAATATTTGGCTCCATCATGTAGCGTTGGACCTCAATATTTGTGTCTGCTATCACGTTTTGTGTTTGTGTCTGCCTGATGCTGTCATCCAGGCGACGCCACAGGTTGTTACCTAAGAAATAAGAGTTTTGTGAGTTTAACAGTTCATATAAATGCAACTCAAATGGAATAACAATAGTACCTTGTTGGGAGGAATGAGATCAAAATGTTCCCACACAGGGGACATCTTCCTCTTCTTAGCTGGCTCCATTCTCTCCTCACTCTCCTAAATCTCCAAACTCTTTCCAAATTATCTCTACCTCTCTCCAAACTGTCTCTACCTCTATCCAAACTGTCACTGACCGCAACTCTCCATCAAACACCCACATTTTGAATGGAGCCTAAGGGGTTTATATCGCTGTCAAAACTCGCGGCAAAATCCGAACCACTTCCTGAATCAGTCACGTGGTACAGCCCGGCAGCGAGGCTTCGGACGTCATCATTTTCAGCTCCTCCCCTAAATGACGCAAGCCTCGATACGCGCATCGCGGAAACGCCCCCTCCCGTACTCGGCACACGCTTCAAAGCCTCGATACGGAACGTCACATCACTCGTATAGTCCGACTGGCCTCACATATACTGTAAATGGGGCAACACCAGTAATACAGTACATCTGGTTGGCATTGCACCCTCATGCCAACACAGTTGACTCACTACTTTCAAAAACAAAACTATCACTTCAATGAAAGTAAGGTGCTAATCATGGTGCTTGGTGTACCAATTAACCAAGTGTGTATATGATGTGGAACGTTTTGTGTCCTGAATATATTTTATAACTTTACATTTGAGTTTTTTCTTACATGTTTTACAGGGTGACTGCTTAATACTTTTCCTCAAGATGCCAAAATCAGGCCTTGGCCTATTTTGAGTCTCCCTTTTCAGGCTGAGTATACAAAGTGGTGATTCTCTAGATGCAACAGGCTGCCATTTCAGAGTAATTCTGAAAATAAGCGATGTTTAACCCTAAACTAATCTACTTTAGGTTTTGTGTTTAACATGGAAATCCTAGGACAGGAACTACTGGGACTAAAGTGTCAATTTCAGGGATCTATCCACATCACTACCAACAACTCCCCTGTTGGCTTTGTTGTTGGCAAATGGTTCCTTATTGTCACTTGCAATAAATTTAGCCATGCACAGAGGCAGTTAAATGTTTTCTCTTACAAGTTAAAGCTTCACACTTACAACTATTCATGAAACCTGTGACGTACACTACTCCCTTAACAGTATATTTGACATGACCAGCAACTGTACCAAGTGACCCTGACAAAAGGCTTTTCATGTGTATAATGAATATTTTGTGCTTTTGACACTAGAGACAAATGCATTACTTTAAATTTCACCTTTTAAAACAGCAAGTTTATTTGTCTTTAAAAACTAAAAAAACTAAAAAGTATTACCATTTCATTGTCACTAATAGAAACAGTACGGAAGCACTGAGTCTTTGAGCACTTAGCCGCTCTTCAAGTATGTAGCTCAGTTCATAGATTATTCTTCTGCAGTGGGGAAAAACCACCAGGATAGTAGAATCCAGTTGGTGCAGAGGGCAAAGCTGCAATTCTAACCTCAAAGTTCCCTATAATAGCCTGGTTGTGGCAAAACCAGTGTTACTGACTTCACATATCGAAAAGGAACAGGTCAATAACCCATTAAAATTTGATCCAGTGACAAGTCTGGTTCCAGAGCAATGTAGCTGATGTGCAAGCACCCCGTTCTTCGTCGTAGTGAGCGGAAAGAGGTGGTGTTAGTCTCAAGCTGAAATGTGAGGAGGCAAGGAAGGACAAACTGAAAAAAACAGAATGGTAACAACAAAGAATGGACAACCAAATAAGTAAAGCACAGCTCATTACAGTTAAAATAAACAGCCACCAATCAGTTGTCTTAAAAATAACAGTGACTTCAAAACAATACTACTTGAATCAGCTCTAAGGTAATAAAACTTTAAATTACAATTTCTTCTGTGGAGAAACAATGCAGTTTCCACATGTAAACAAATTCAATAAGAGACAAAGTGTGCAGTTTCTCAGGCCCTCCTTCACCTAAGCCCCTTTCACCCTTAGTGTATGTGCTTGTGCCAGAATTGCACCAATAATATTTTGTCAATGCCAAACATCCAACTCTTTCTCCCCTTAATTTGTTTTGTTCTTCTCAAAACACATTTCAGAAAGTGAAAGTGACAAACCTCTGATGGAATCCATTTGAGCGTTTTGAGAAGCTGCTGAAGAAGAAAAAAAAAGGTCAGACTATTGAGATTCAACTCCCTGTATAGGCCAACGTCCCTCATTTAGAGATCAGACCTAAACCCTCTGTCCTTTCATCATTTAAATGAGCTTCTCAAAGCCGGTCATCTGGGGTGCAGAAGAAAGCGATGCAGATACTCTGAAATAGCATCCCAGTGCCTCCAGAGGAAGGCGAGGAGAATTACAAGGAGCAGCGTAGAAAGTGTGCGGCTGCGTGTTTTCATTAAGGGAACGACACAGTTAGCCACCGTGGACACAAAGACCAAAAGTACTGCCATGACAGCTAACAGTACATTGATTAATTTGCCAAGAAGAGTTCGTGCTGTGGCATTCTCCAGACCCTCCAGCTGTACCACTTGCTGTTGCTGCTGCTGCAGCTCCATTTTGGATATACGTGTCTGACATGCTTCCAGTGCCTCCTACAGGTCAGAGATAAAACTGTCAGTGAAATACCTACTGACAAAGCAGAAACATGACATGTATTCTGGTGATATTTACCTGAGTGTCCCTTGCTCTTTCATAAGACTGGTAAGCAATCTTCTCCTCCATACTGGCTAGTTCCTGTTTCAAGTTCAGAATTTCATTCTGGTGCAGCTCCGTCAAGTCATTGAGTTGTTCTTCTAAACGTTCACACCTGTCAAATAGTGACAACAACAGAACACTTCAAATGATGTTTCCTTTCTAACCGCACCAAATTACTCTACTGTACTCTATAGGATATGATATACTACCTGTATCGTTCCTCTTGCAGTGCCTCCATGATCACTGTGTAGTCCCGTTGATAGTGGGCTTTTAAGCTTTCAAAGGACTCCTCAAGTCGACCTTGATTTTCCCGGAGCTCTTGGATTTCACTGAGTATAGCATCAAAGCCTGAGGCCTGGGCATGATCAAGAGTATTGCCCTTGGAGCTAGGAGGGCCTCCAGGGCCCCCAGTAGTACTATTGGCTCCTGCAGAGCCCGATGTAGCACTAGAACAGTCATCATCACTGCCATACTTCGGGCTGGACTGCAGGTGCCCTGTCCCCAGGGCCCGTGTACCCCCAGGGCCGACACCCTCATCTCCTTGGGTTTCATCCAGAGAATCTTTCAGGGATGCTATGTTATCAGCGCTACCAAACCTGTTGCGGATGAGGGAAGCGATTTCTCTTGGCTTGGACACAACAGCTCCAGCTGCAGAGTGAGTGGCTTGAGAGAAGCTGGAGAGACCACCTGTCACCTGTAATGAACAAGATCCGGTCAATACTCATTCTGTAATGTCAAAATGCCACCAACTATGACATCTGGATTAATAAAGGGAATGGATGGTGCTGGGTAGTGTTTACAGTGGGAATGTCCAGTAGGCATTGTGCTTTGCCATTCGGTGTGGCTATCCTAATATCAATGTGCCACCAATGCAGTATTCAGCTTCCAGTATTCAGGGTTGAAAATGCATCCCTATTTCTGACAACTGGCAAACAAACTGCTGTCTCTTCATTTGGAAAACTTTTGAACAAAATGCACAGGCTACATTAAAAGATGCCAGAAAGTTACAGTACTAGACAAATTAACCTGCCATGTGAGCTATTTGTTATCCAAGTCTAAGCATTTCTACCTCCAGTTGAACTGGCACTACTCTGCTATGCGGCCATTAATAATGTTATTGGTTACACCTGTGTTAAGCAAGTCAAATGTCTGTTGTATGACATGAAACAGTAAAAGAACACACCTTAGCGCCAACATCTTTCAGGCCCTGGTGCATGTCTCGGAAAACATCTTTGGGCTGGCGAGGGATGCCGTTGTGCTCCACGTCACGAAGCTTCCGGTGGTAGTGCTCCAACTTCCTCTGCAATTGCTGGATAGTCTGAGCTGACTTTTGGTTCTTCTTCTCAAACACTTGTTTGATCCGTGCACTCTGCTGTTTGTCTGCATTATTAGCAAGTTTCAGGTATTCAGCCACGTTGTCGTCACGAGCAGTTTGTTCAATCTTGATTTGCTCTGTGAGCTTGAGGATTTTCTGTTGTAGCTGGGCAATGGCCTGCTTAGTTCGATGGGGGTCAGGGGTACTGTCAACTACATCATAACCGTCTGCACCGTAAGGTAGGGCATTGGGTGATATAGCAGGGCCTGAGCTGTCATAATGATCCAGCTGCTGAAAGAAATAAACAGAATATCTTAAATGTCTCTGAGATCACAGTTTAGTCAATTTAAATGTTGTGCTGCCGGAGCGTGAATACAAGAACGTTTTCTCTTTTCATTTATAATTTTAATTGAAGAAGTGAGGGTCACTATATCTACTGTACATTTCACTTGTACACTACTGGTCTAAAGATTGTTTCCTGATTCCTGTGAACATTGAGGAGGACAACCCCCCCCCCCAAAAAAAACATCACACGTTTGAGCTTGTTAAGTCCATCAAGCCTTCTCAGACTGTAAGTACAGAGAGAGCTAAATATAGAAAGGCAGAAAGGCTTGAAGCACATGGTGACCTTACACCACTGACAGCTCATCTCCCCATTCACTGGTTCATCCAGGAGCATGTAACCCATTAACAACCTTTTAAGATGTTTCTTCAATATATACAACCCAGACATTAGCGCTGAGTCTGTTTTGTCTTTTATTTTTACAGATACAAAGCCACTGGGTTGTAAACAAATATAATGCATTTGTTTTCTCACGAGTGCACATCTTCTTGTTTTATGATTTGAATCTCAATGTTTTATGCCTGATGGCTAAACAAATAGCAAATAAAGAAATACATAAAATTAAAAACTTTCAGGAATGTATTTTTTTTAAAAGACCATATTTTGTTATAGAGTGTTTTGCTAAGAATTTTTAAATTATTTGCCTGTATCAACTAGTTTTCTTAAATAGAGGAGTTTCACTGAATGTTGGTGGTCATTCTAAAACAAAGTTTCATGATGATTACTGTCTCTGTATTCATTTGAATAAAACAAAACATTTGAGGATTTGGGTTTGGATAACACTGCAGTGTAAAGAATGTGCTGTTTCATGACCATGGTTTATGTCTCACCGTGGACCATCTGACAGGATGGAGCCACTCACCTTGTCAGGCTCCTCAGTGGAATGGTAACCAGAGGTCAGCAGCATGTCAGCTAGGGCTGGACTGCTTGGTGTATCTGTGGTTGAGGAGGAGCGAGGGCGTCCAGCCTGCAGCAGGGCCTCATGGGTGCTGCGCCTGTGGATCTGTGGGCTACCTTTCTGGGGAGGATCCCCAACGGCCCCTGTCTTGCTGCGGCGGCTCTGCAGGCTGGTGCCTCGCTTCATTATTGGCGGAGCACCTCGGATCTGCTGCAGAACACGACTCAGAGCTGCGGGAGGGGCGGAAGCAGCAGGGTTGTCAGAATCCAAAGGGACAGCAAAGGAGGCAGGAGCATCCCCTACGTCTGACCCTACATCAGTGGGTTCGGAGGGAGGGGCACCCGTGCAGGACGTGGCGGAGTCATGTGGGGAAACGGAGGAGCGTCGGCGCTGTGGCTGGAAGAACTGCTTCAGGCCATGGCCCAACGCTCCCATGTTCTCTAGGGCATTGTGGGTGATTTTGGACAAGCCGTGCTCTGACTCTGACGCCCTCCTGCCGACCTCCGTCTCTGCTCGGCCTGTGTCCGGCTCCTCTGGACTTTGCTCACTACTACCCTGATCCATCAGAGACCTCCAGTTTCACAGTGAGGTTCTACTTGGGGGTGCAGGGGACTAGCTACGCCCCGTCGACACCCCCCCTCTGAGAGGCTGGTTGAAAGCCGGGAAGCAGAGGGGATGCCGCTCAGTTGGGCCTTTTGAGTGGGCATGCATCAGTGGCTTGGCTCACTATCATGCTTGTCTACCACAAAAGGAAAATAAAACGTATTACGACATGCAGCAGTGAGCGATGAACATAACAGACAGCAGCAGAATATAAACAAACACTAAGCAACATAATAAGGGTTGGCACACACATGACCACTTTTTTTAGCACAATATATGAAGGTTTCCTCTTAGTTCTATCCAAACAGAAATTTCTGCAAACAATTCATGATTGTTTTACTCTACTAAATAACAACAGCTTGTGGCATGTCTGACGGTGCCAACCCGGTAATGCAAAAAACACAAGGTCTAGAAAATAAACAAGAACTTGAGAACAGTTTCTGAAATGTCAAAGTTTGTTATATAAAAACACGATGAAGGTTGAGGCTGTTTGTGAACTTTCCATTGTTTAGTTCTGAGTATTCAAGGCCAACAGTACAAAAGCAGGATTAATGAATAATTACATTTCAGAAAGCATTCATTGTAGAACTTATTAATCGAGTGTTAAAATAATGCTAACAAACATTCCACAGTGTGAAACATGTAAATAAAATTCTAAATGGACAGTGACTGTTTTCTAAATCTCCTCTGATTAAGATGTTCAGCGATCCACAGCAGACTCCTCTCTTATTACAATCCTATAATGTGAAGGACCTCTCAAAATGTTTGGATCTCAGATAACAGCTTAGATGAAAACCCTTTTGGTTTACCAACACACAATGGGACAGTGAGAAAGAAAGCAAGAGAGGGGGTAAAATAGAGTGTGACGGAACTTACCATCAGCTCAGCCTCTCTGCTTCTGACTCACAAATCAGGACTGGCTAAATGAAGCAGAGATACAAACAAAACCTAAATAATATGCCCCATTCAACATAAAAGAATTAAATAAAAAATCTATGACTGCATTACATTCCACAAAAAATAGACTTGAAGAAAAACCTTTAACTCAGTAATTACTGGCGATAATGGATATGTAATGGAAAACTACAACAGACGAGACGTAAAAGCTTGAACATGCTGATCGTGAGAAATTGTCAATGGCCTAATGGACTTCTGTTTACAACTGTAAGAACCAGCAGAAGGTTGATGCATAAAGAGCCATGGAAACTATTATATTACAGCATGCATGGCATTAACATGATAGTTGTAATAATGCACCCATAGAAACAAATGTGGTACTGTATGAACACAGCTCAGCTGCTCTAAGGAGCTGTCACTACAACTCAATCATAGCACACAGGGGGATGTGGGAGAAATATGCTCCTGTCCTGCTTTTCTTCTAGACCCACTGATCCAACAAATATGCATGCTATCTTTGAATAGACTTTTTATAGTGCTTATGATTGTGATACTACTTGTTTAAAAACATTTTAATTATCTCAAATCCTAAGGACAGACAGATGTTATTATTATAAATTCTCCTGTTCACATACAAAGATATGTAACGTAACATAAAAATCACTCATTTTGTCAAAATCAGTATTTTAGCTTCAATAAGCAAAGCTATTCTCATGCTAGTATCATGCACAGCCCCACCGGTCCTGCAATGCCTCTGCATGTTTCAATCACATGGAATCAAAACCAAAACATTGGCTGTCTTGGGCTTCAGCAGCAAAACCTAAACTGGAAGGTTTTATTGGCACAACATGCATTTTAATCACAGATTCATATTGTTAAATAGAACCTTAATGGTTATGTAATTTGCGGTACATCATTAAAGCCCTTGTTGCTTTTCAAAAAGACATGAATACTGTTTATTTAGGTGCAAGTTTGTAATTATCCCCTCAACCCTTTAGTATTCAAGCACCCAAACAGGCTGTTTTACAAAGTATAGTGTGGTCTGTGTTTCACTGAGCTTTAGAGAAAATAATCAAAGCTGAAAGTGATGGGTCTGACCACATAGTACATGCATTACTTTGAGGACAAACAAAAAAAAATGATTTCATGACTCAGCAGAAATACTAAGTATCACTTAAAAAGCCAGAACTACAATCTAGTGCCAAAGTCACTATGAAATGCTCCATTAGTGTTACAGTGACTCAGTGTCGGTCCTGCTGTTAGACCTGCAGTGTTGGATAAGAAAGCACTTTGTTTAAAAGTAGGTGATATGGAATAATTCAATAATGAAAAGAACATCCTTAACTGCACTCTTGCTGATCAACGTACTTTGCAAAATTGCATTACTGTTCACTTACTGTAATTATTTATACAGTCTTTGTTGCCAGTGTTGGCTACACACCTGAGAGTACTATGCAGGATTTCATGGCCACTGCTTTAAAACTCACTGGTGCACATTCAAAGTACTGACCCTCTGATTTTCATTCCATATCACTAAGCCTCATCTATAACTCTCATCTTATATGAAACAGGAACTCTGCAATCACATCTCCTGAACCTGAACCAACTGATCGTAGAGGTATGGCCACTCAGTCATTCATTGTAATGCTTTGTAAGCTCAAAACACAAGATAAAACACAGAGACAAATGCTCCACATAAACATGGAATATTATCCTTCATCGACAATGATAACTACAATAGCATCCAAGGGCAAAGTCTCCTCTTTAAAGTGGGTCAGCCAACATTTGCCTATCACTCCCCGTGCGTGCAGTGCTCCAAGGTCACACCATCTACAGAGGGCTGTGCACGTCTACAACATTTCAGAGTTTACTTGTGTTAAAGACACGCTGCTACGGCATAGACCTAGATGCATTATTCTAGTAACTCTACATGTTCCCACCTAAATCACTCATGATTATGTTTTGATGATTTGTTTGTAGTTTTATCTATGAAAACAATACTGTATAGGACAATGCGAGTGAAAATGAAATTAATTTAATAAATTCTATACTATATATAGTAGGAAACAGTAATAGCACTGTTCAGCATAAATACATAAAAGTCAAATGATGGTGAGCTTTCTTTAAGATAGAGGGAGACTCAACACAGCAAGAGTCTGACTTCAGATAAATATACCTTAAGATGTGGTCATCAGCTGATGATTTGTGCATCTATTAACACAAGAGAAGGTTTAATAATCCAAGTGAATTTCCAGCGCTACTCTCTGGGTTATTCTTCCACATGAAATCTAGTCGAATAGCTGTCAAACTTTAGTCAGCTGTTTCCAAGGGCGTTTAGAAAAATAACATGCTGCAAATAAAAACAACAAACAGGAGACAGCATTAGAAACTTATAAAGGGAATATAAACATGTTCAAAGACACATAGATTTATCTTTCCCAAAAAGCTTGATATTTGTATGGCTGGGATTTTTTTAAAGAATAAAAATGTGGTTCTGCGTTAGTTCAACATTAATCTATACAGTATTAACAGTCCCAAATGTTAAAGCTATTCTGTGGGGGTTTTATCCGCCAGTGGTGCTGTAGAGCAGTGTTTGTGGAGCCCAGTCACAATATCTGTTTCACTCCTGGCAAATAGTGGGAACCCAAATAAATCAAGAAACAAAAACATGTTTTGATGACACATTTTACAAGAGCTTGCAAATTCCAGGCTCATCGACCCTGTTTCCAGCTTCAGGATGCAGCTGGTTTCAGCAGCCAAACATAAAAACAAAGTTAGCCCAAATATCAGAAGACGTTAGCACAGGTGAAAACAGAGCAAAAAGAGAAGTGAATATTGGACATATAAACATCAACCGCACAGAAATACTTATCGAAAGAAGTGCTTATGTATGTCTGCTAAATGTGTATTCAGGCAGCTGTTCACAAATTAACCTTAATAAGTGTATAAAGCAATAATATATTAGATGTATTTTGTTTATCTGGTATTTAAAGAGTTTGTGCAATGTGACCCAATGTAAAAACTGACATTTAAGGCTAATATTTGAACTGATTATTCCTCAAAAACAAACCAATACAGCCATTTTTAAAAGGTCATACAAGTCTACGAGTTAATAACTGAAATAGCAACATGAAAAAAAGTTTTCATTTTGTCCAGCACATGCCCCAAGGCCTTTTAGCTTAATTAATTGCTCAATGTTAATTAACAGTGCTGAATGGCCCCTTAGGAATATCTACAGGACATGAACCATTTGCCTGTCTTAGAGTTTCAGATTAGTTAAATACCGCAGTGTGACAACTGAACACAGAAACGGTAGCTATATAAATACACAATGTTATCTGCTGGAGTACAAACATACAGTCATAATGCATTCCCATGAGGTCATTCCTTCATTAACATATATTGGCCAAACAGTCAAGTTTCATTTTGACTGGTCTATTAGCAAAACAAAAACTTTCGATAGAAGAGGTTTAACATAATGTTACAGCTTAATTTAATTCAATTACTCATAGATTACAGGTGTACTCAGTGTCCTTACATGTAGTGTGGCTGTGGTGCAGCTTAATTTAATTGAATTACTCATAGATTACAGGTATAGTCGGTGTCCTTACATGTAGTGTGGCTGTGGTAATGCATATGTGTCAAGTTAAAAAAGCAGACGCGATAAAGTAAATTATGTACATATATATTTAGCTGTATTTATGAGTAAGGTTATACCCAGAGCCCAATGGTTAAATATTTGCTAGGGATAAGAAAGGGATGAAATTAGCAGTTCGCTAGCCATCGTTTCGTAGACCTGGGCTTTAAAACACACAACAGTAAGATATAGTTGATTAAAACGTCAATGTATGATAGTTTTACTCAAAGGTGGTGCTAACCGTTGTGTTAAGTACAAGTAAAACATCAATGCTCCGTTTTCATGGCTTGTCTGCTCCTAGCTAGCAGTCCAGGCTAACGTGGTGCACCGCGGGGCGTTCATTTCACTTTACGGGGCACACCGGCGTTGTTGTCCGAGGCGAGGTCACAGTGTTATGCTACTGTATGTACAGGCAATTAATGATCTGCCCGCTGCTGGCAATAGACACCAGTCAGACGTTACTATGTCAGCTGCATTTATCACCACAGACTCCAACATTAAAGTGCAGATTGAGTACACGGCTATCCAAGTGGAGCTCAAAACACACTGGGTGAGTTTAGATTGGAGGTATTGGGTGGCCATCTGTCACATACTCCCACTAGGCTTTCTTAATCACACCTTAGCGTCTTGAATTTCATGATGGCGTAACGTTAGTGCTCTAGTTCCTCCAATGTCGCTTTATATTAGCTAGAAGTTTCCTCTTGGCTTGGTAATGTTAACCAGTGCTTAGCTCAGGACAATAAGAACAAAGCATAGACTGTATTTAAAGAAGTCAACATTGTTCCGAGGCAGCTACATAATGAAACGCTAGCGCAAATTATTTCACAGATCCTGGTTTGACCGCTGTGAAAACATCACTCAGTCAGGCCTGGGTGTTGTCTCTAAAGTTAAACCCTTAACTTACAAATGCGTATAAGCACTAACTCGCCATTCGCAATTACACATATGTAAGTGTACTTAACATCGCCCATCCCGAGTATCATGGTTGACAAAACGGGCGCTTACTGGACGCCTGGCCACTAACCCTGTCTGTCAGTTAGCAGGCTGGCTAGCCTCTCTAGCTTAAAAAAATCGCTTCAGCCATGGCTAGCCACAAGGCGCACCGCCTGGCGATAGTGACAATAAGATCAACAACTTTAATCAACCGTAACCCTTGTTCCGGTAGGAGAACAGCATATGGAAACACATTTCATTCATAGACCAGTGCACAAAATGAGTATTTTACTGGTTTCAACTTACATGGGCGCTCAGAGGATTGTGTTGATGACCGTTCATTTCTCCCGATGGCGGAACACTCCCACGGTGACGTCAGGTAGCGTGCTCGACGTCAGAACAACTGAGTAGCAGACAGCTCACCCTCCTATCAGATCCATGCTGGTCATCCAATTGCAGATTCATATGCTACACGTTGAATATAGGAAAGTCCTGTGCAAAGACTGTAGCTACACATAAGGACATTGGGGTCATGTCCTTAGTATTTTGTCTGTGAATTAAAGTTTCTGGGGGGGAGTCACAGTGTACTGTATCGTTTCAAATACTAATACATTTGGGGTATTTTTACTGACGCATACATTCAGCCAGCAATTTATTAAGTACATCAAACTAAATACAACAGTCCTGCAATAAACCTTGTTTTCATGAAGGTGATGATAATGTTAAGGTTTTGTTCAAAATGTTTTAGAGATAGATAGATTGAGTACTTTATTAATATCCAAAGAGAAATTCAGCTAGGAAATTCAGTTAAGGTTTAGAGAGCCACTGATTCAACTGTATAGTCCTTCTGGAACTTGTGGTTTGTGGTGCTGTTGAACAGTACTGCATCATCCAGAGACATGTTTGTTAATTTATCTAGTCTTACTGAAAATGTCAGTAAATTACCACAGACTACAAGAGTTTCAAATACGGACCATTTTCACCTTGTCAGACAGCAAAAAAAAAAAAAAAAAAACAAATTCAGGTAGTTGTGTATCTAAACTTGCCCTTTATGTCTCCTCAAAAAATGTACATTTTGAATTTCTCTTGCTAAATGCATGACAACAAAGTCGGTTGCTTGCCCTGTAACATGATTCTTGATTACTATTCCGTAAGGATCCTTTGAGTTTATTACAGCTCTGCTAGCCAAATCTATGAGCAGTGGTGGAAGACAAAACATGAAACACATCCTTTAGATAAAAAGATGAGAAGAACTTCTTATCACTCTGATGAGAAGGGAAGGGTGGAAGCATGGTACGGCTAAAAGGCTGACATTCATGTTGACCAGATGGAGCTGGATTTGGAGAAGGTGTGGCTGGAGAATCAGGAAATTCAGGCATGGTAGCCTGCTCAAGAACATGATATATTTGCATATAAAGGGTGTGGATAATGACACGGAATTTTGAGCAGAAGGCTTTAGAGTGGTGACTGCACTGGTTGTTGAAATGGAGACAGGAGAAGCAGTTTGAGAATATTGTCTTTGAGATGGTTACTTAGGAGGAGGATGCAACACAAGGATTTAGTAGGTCTGAGGATACACAGGTTGTGCTTTCCATTGCTGGATGAGGTTGGGATTATGAACATCTTGAGGATGACCTACTGAAGACAGTGGGCTTTCAGGGAATGGCAGGAAAGGATATTAAGGTGGCGATGAAAACTGTGGCTGCTAGGATTCATGAGGCTTCCTATCATACATAGTTATGGGCGCAAGATGTGGTTGTCAAAACCTCTGTGCTAGTGTCAGGAGGAGGAGGAGGAGGTGGTGTAGGACACAGTGGGACTGAACACCATCACTAAGAGGTGTAGTTGTTTTAACAGTAGTAGTAGTTTTATTGTTCAGTAATGAAGGGCATGTGCATAGAAGAGAGAGTATGTATTTCACATCCTAAAAGGAAATGATAACTCAAAAGCATGTCTGCATTTTAGCTTCAATTTCTAACCACAAGAGGGCCCACCATACCTTGATCTCTATGCATAACACATCTGTTGTAGGCTGCAGTGAGTGTATTCCATCCAGAAAACACTTCAAGTGCAATTTCACAACTGTTTTTGGGCAGTATCCATAAGCACAGTTAGAGTCAGACATGCAGCTTTGCAACTCATTTTAACACATTCATGAAATACTGTAAATACTGACAAGTGAAATGATATTAACTTGCACAATAACATGGTAGCCTTAATAAGGTACAGCAAGATCTCTGCAAGACAAGGTCTCTGCGGGACCGCTTCACAGAGAAGCCACATTTAGAGGCATATGAGACAGAGAAGCAAGAGGTCTCTCACCTGCCTGACACAGAAGTACACAGAATTATTTGGCCAATTTTCCAAAATTGCATGTGTAATGCACCACTATCCAGGAGACAATGAGAAACTCTGACCTGTTTGACCTTTCAGAGTCATGTGATTGCATGCACTTAAGATTTGCAGCCATCAAACTGTTCAATACTGGAAACACAAGCACAAATTCAGTTTGCCATCTGAGGAATTCAGACAGCCTTGGCATATTATGTCTTATAATGTTCTACTTCATTCATTTGCTCACTCAAAACTGGCATGTTGCATCACCCTTAAAAAGTACCCAACCACTATTTTGCTGAGCATATCCCCGTTTTGTTTCTACCCTTCCAGCATGTGCACAAAGACACTGCAGAACATGACCACACTAAAGACATAATGCATTTCTATCCTCTGTAGAGGGCCATATAGCTATATTAGGTCTAAAGGTGCCCTGTGTATTATTACAACTGGTAAGTGGTAGTACCCTACTGTGCATTATGTTATCTTTACCCAATATAAACCAATATAGCCTCACATGTTCATTGTCATGTACATATTCAAGCCAGAATCTGGCAGTTGTTAAAATGTTAACCAAAGACTTTCTTTTAAACTATTGATGATGCATACATTTGTAAACCTGTTTCAATGAAATTAAGCCACCTTTTTGCTAAAAGGGCAGAGTCTATCTTCTGAACTGTTTTCAGAAGATAGATTTCAGTTTATTGATAAGTGCTAAATGTTGCATTGATGACATGTGACCTTTTTTAGCAGACACAACATTAAATGTCGCAAAAAATCCAAGTATTCATGGGCCGAAAGGATATGTTTTGTTCATTGTAGCTTTAATACAAAACAAAATCAGGCACTACAGACAAAGGTCATGCAGTTCAACTCAGTGAGCTTCATCGCATCACTTCTGTACTGGTAAGTGATTTTAAAAGGTCTGACCAAATCAATTTTTATTTATATAGCCAAATATCCCAAAACACAAATTTGTCTCACAGAGCTTAAATTCAAGAGGATCCTCTATGTAACTTGCCAGGAGTAGACTTTCACTTGAAGGCAAGTGAAATGTGTTGTGTTGGGACCATGGATTCATGTTTACTTCAAACATCACACTTCTGCCTTGCAATGTAGACCTTTGACACAACACACCTGTTGTAGGAGAAGCCAGTAATGATGCATCTTGTCTTTTCTACACTCGAATGAGTGTAGAACAATGATTAATTCATCTGTTTTTACCAGGATTTGTTTCAGTACACTGGATGGACTGAGTGAAAGTGAAAATGCACTGACGCTAGCTGTAACTGTTCCAACTAAGAAGGTAATTAAGAAAGCCTGCTTTTTAAAGTCCACATTTTGAGCAAATTGATATGAGTACACATCAAAGACCTCAGAAATGAATTCATGCTTTGCAACCTTTGCTACACACAAAAGCATAATAGAATAATTCCAGCTGCAATTTGCAGGGTTAAATACAATATTTCTCAAACATGAAAACACTGTATATCAGAAGATCTAATGAAAGTCAAGTGAATAAACTGGATCAAAAGTTTTTCTGCCATCCCCCACTTTTATCTTTATTGTATCTTTTTGCAAAACATACACAACTAAGTAAAACTGAGGAGGATATTTGATTCTGACTGCTCTTTTGTGCTGAATATTTGAAGTCTGATCATTTTAAGCCACTAGTATACAGACAGGATTAAGACTAAGTAAATCTTTGCCTAGATGAGATAATGTCTTGCAAGAGCAGTAGTGTCCACATTATATAATAGTGCCATTTCACCAAGGCTAGATGATTTATATTAGGAAGTTAGTATTGGCACTCCTGACATAGGAGACAGCTTAGAGGTCTGTTACTTCATTATCAGACCAGTCATGCTGATTCACCACTGCTGAGAGTGCTGAATTAAACTCTGCTTCCTGATGTGCAGTGGTTGGAGACCTAGTGCTACCATTAAAATCAGTGGTAGCACTGGGTGACTGTATGGGCTCTTTAGCTTGAAAATGGTCGAGAGATGTGGAAATAGACTCTGTATTCAACATCCACTCATCCGCTGGAGGGAATGTTGTACTATCATTTCCATCAGTGCCCACGGTTTGAGTCCAAGAGGGAGGTGGAGGAGTGAACAGGGCTCCTGCTACAAGCTGTCCATGATGAAGGGCACAGTCAATGCTGCGCCTGAGGTGAATTGGAGATGGGGGCCTCATGTCAAATTCTATAAGTGAAAGAATACATTTGTGTTCACTGACTTTTTGCCACAGTAATGCAGTCTGACAGTCTGAGCTACTGTTGCTAACAGGATCAGGCTTGTATGCTGAGATAATGGTAGATGGTTGATCATCATAGGGACACATTACATTGCTGCTGATGCTGGCTCTAGACAGGTTATATTTTGGCCAGTTATTTGGCATCAGGTCTTCCCAGGTTTTTTCTGATTGTCGTAGTGGCCCTTTCCATACGTTGGCCTAAACCCTACCCCACAAGCTCTTCTCATCCAGCCATGTAGACACTTCATTTCTGCCCTGTCTATAATCACCTCTTGAATGAACCCTGGAGGGCATCCAGAAGAACCATGATCCTAGGACAACCAAAGAGAATCCCCAAGCTAACTCAAGGATTCTTGCCTAAAACTGACTGATCCACCAGCCCCAGCCAAAGCGCCTCCAGTTCCCCAGTAGCCCATAAAGCCAGAGGAAACTGTACATATGAAGGCTGCAGCAGAGAACCCCTAGAGTGGCACACACCGCCGTTACCCTCTTTGCTGGCTTCTCAGTGCTCTGTGAAGGAACCCACTGAGGTACAGAGGACCTGAGAAAGGGATGTAAGTGAGAAAGAGACTTTGTGAGAATTCCCATGCAGAATGGGACACCCCAGCAGAGGGACAGGGTCTGCAACAACAGAGGGAGAGCAGGGGATAAAGTTGAAGAGTATAGGTCAGCTACCAGTAATGGAGTGCAGTGTGATATAGCCAGCCCTCCAACCACCCATGAGTGCTGCAGCTTTAGCGGAAAAAAATAATAATTTCAAACTTCTCAGTGAGAGCAGAGCAAGGGCACCCTGGGCCCACAGAAGAAGCTGCAGGGGAACGTTATGGAGAGCTGCCAGAGTAGAACGAGAAAGGATCTGACAAGTACCATAAGGATCTATTAGAAAGAAGACACCACGCAGAGTACCACCCATAAACAGGAGACTATTTGCCAAAGGGAGGGCATCATAGACGAGATGAGGAAGAGTGCATGCACCGGTCATTCCCAAAGCTACCAGGACTGCCATCAGTATGAAAAGGCTGGCAGATCCAAAGACATGTAACTCCCAGGCAAATGCCAGTGTGCGCCTCATGTCATCTCAGAGCAGACTGGTGCCATTAAAGTTTGCAAGAACAACACAAGGTCTAAGACCAAGCACACAGGGACTTCCAGACCCTGACAAGTTGTGGTTCTTCATAGATGTAAACACATTTGTTTGGACAGGGAGTTCAAGACTCTTCCCACCTGAAGGAGACAGAAAGAGGAAATGTTTTATTTTTCATACAGCAGAGTTCAATTCAGAATTTGTAACAATGCAAAGTTCTTAGAAACCTCACAGCCTCAAGACAGATGCACAAGCTCAAAGAGTGACTGTGAAAGTAATCAGAGAAATCATCCAATGTCAGTCACTTTACTTAATTTGCAATGATTCCAATTTTTGGCACCTTTCATAATGGTGGATTTGTAAAACTTATCTATTCTGTATTTTTAATATATGGCTAATTAAGGGGATTTTTGTACTGTATCTAATTATGATAATTCAATGTTGTCTCAGAAACTGTTGAAGAAAAGTAATTTGGACAAGGACATGCTGTATATGTCTGACTTCAACTCACATTTTTACTTACCATCCAGAAAGTCATCATTTACTGTGGATGTATGGCTCTCTTTCAACTGTTCCTCAGTTGTTACGTGGCTGCCTTCCAAGAGAGCTTCCTCTGAGATGATGTCTATACTGGGGTGAGTGTGGCCTGCAGTTGAAGTATTAACTTTCTCTGGTCCTTGGTCACGTAAGCGGTGTAGAGTGAGTGCAGCTGTTGTCGCAACTGTGATTCTAGATCCAGAACGATTTTTGCTGCTGGCATGCTCAAGCTCCTTTGGAATGGCCATCATACTGGTGAGCTTCTATGTCGTTATACTTTCAGCATTAGGGCCACTGCCCTCCACAAAGTTACCACTGCTCACTAAATGGAAGATTTCTTCACTGTTCAAGTTGTCCAGAGTAGAACTGTTGTTTCTGACTATGCGTCGACTTATTCAGACTAATTCAGAGTGTGAAGGTTGAATAAGGCTTCCAAGTGAAGTGAGGTACAAGGTTAATGTAATGAAGAGCCAAGGTGAACACCCCATTTTTGGTTACCTAAACTGAAATACCAAGACCTGTAGATCAACAAAAAAGAGGAAGAGTTGACATTTGATTTCACATCTGATTAACTACAAACACTAATTAGACCAGGGGTGACCAATTCCAGTCCTTGAGGGCCGCTGTCCTGCTTGTTTTCCAACTATCCCTGCCTGACCATCATAGATGAAAGTGGAGTGAGGAAAAATAAAGTGAACTGGTATCTTCCAGCTTCTGACTGGCTGAACACACCTGAGCCAGGTAATCAGCAGCAGGTCAGGCAGGGATAGTTGGAAAACAAGCAGGACAGCGGCCCAATGTTTGCATTGCAGTATTTTACATAACTGTGAAAAAGTTGATAGTAGAAAGACTTCAGAGGCTAGGTAGCAGTGAAGAGTCACACAGGGTCTCAGCTAATTAATCTTGTGTTTCAATCTTATAATTTCCCTGTATAATCCATTGGGGTTGCACACTACAACAGCTGTGGGTTATTTGTCTCCACAAAAACACAACACAGACTAGCAAAACAACCGAATGAGCCAGTCTGATCTGTCCCAAATGTCAAAATGCAACTTCAGTAATATGCAGATCACACAGGATAAGAAAAGAAAATCACAAACACCTAAAAGGTTAAACAATGGAGTATTATGCATAATTAAATTATTTTAGCATGACAAACATTTCTTGCAGGTGACCAATTTCCCTTAATGCATCCTCTAGTAAGTTGAGATGCTAAACAGTTCACAACATAAACCATAAGGTTAAGCAATGCCTTGTGTGCTAGCTTACTATAGAGAAGCTTTACTATTTGATAAAACAAATAAACCCTGTCAATATACAAATACAACAACAATCAAAAAGATAGTTACATGCATGGCTCTTTGTAGTCTCTAAAAAAACAGTGTGTGCTATAAACTAACCCCCACAGACATTTAAATACTCAGTAAAATCAGATGTACCTGTGATTCCTTGTCCTCTGCTTCCTTGTAGTGTGTCATGTACTGCACTCCAACTCCAGCTCTGTGCGTAACATTTGATTTCTGATATGGAACATAAAGCGCATCACACTGGTTTCAAGACACTGAATTTACAGACATGCTCACAGCCATCTAGCCTTCTAACTGAAGTCTTATTCCTCTTATATACTGGCTGTTTACTTGGCACCCTCCCATCACTCTGTCACCTGCACAAATAAGGAGCATGGCTTAAATACTAGAGTTGAAAGTAAAAGAAATGCCTGCCCTTCTGGTATTTTTTTTTTTTTCATATAGAGACTTAAAGAAAAAACATTTTTGTTCATAATAGACTATTATTTAAAATAATTCTACAAGCTGCACCTGCTTCTCTCTACAACAGTCGTATTAAGGTAAATCTCTTAATGTAATCAAAAGGATTACAGTAAGAATCTTACAGTGGCACAAAGTCACATGAAGCGATAACATGATGCCAACTAGACACAAGCACTGTAGTACTGTTTCATGCCAGGTTGGCAATAAGGCTTACTAGTTTGAAAACTATGTATTTTCCAACCATGATATGATATATGGACAGCAGATGCTCTGCATGCTGTATGGTAAAATGTATGAAACTGCCAGCCATGGTCACCACATAGATGAATGTAATGATGTTTTAATGTTTTATTATTGTTGTGTGAACAAATTTATTAAAGGAAATATATTAATATACATTACCACCATTACCACCACTTCCACCAGTCCCGGTGTGTGGGAATTAACTCTTTCCTATCCAGTGCGTAGAGGACACAGCCTATGCACACAGTACATCTGTCCTGGACCACCTTAAGAGGGGTGAGAGGCAGTTTGTTGTGGAGCAAACAGGGGGAGGCACTCAGTAGCACATGCCTGGCTCTTTAAGGCAGACTGGGGAAGTTCGAGTTTGTTAAAGGCACATGCAATCAAATGTATACCGGGCTTTACTGGAACCGTTATGGAAAGCATTTTAACACTGCTTCACTTTATATTTGTATAGCTGTCCATTTAAAATGGTTTCATGCTGAAACTGGGTTTTCCTATAGCAAAGAGTTAATAGTGAAATAAAGAGGAGGTAGTCTGTCAAAATAATGTCCATTACCAACTTTTTCCAAAGTTTTCAAACATCTCATAAGTATTGTGACCTACAGAGATTATTGCAAGTCTAATTAACTACCATATAAAACACAAAACAAAACAAAAATAATAATATTTATCTATCTATCACACTGCAGCGGCTGAGTGCCTTTATCACTTTTCTCTTATTATTTTCCTTCAGCTATTCAGAGCCAAATAATAAAGAAAATGATAGCCAATAGATAATTTAATAATAGTATAATATTATGTCTTCAAATAAACCACAGAGCCTGATGATGTTTCTGTCCTACTTAAACAGTAACATTAATAAATCAGACCAGCATCATTACAGTTTGTTGCGTACTGTACATTGAGCTATGCACACTGCGGGTTTGAATGTAATTTCAGTTTTAATTTCACAGTTGCAGAGACTGACAGAACTGGGTTCTTGCACATACAGGTTGTTAACAGGACAGCGCGGCAGGCTGTTGCCTTACAGAGCGCTCTGAAGAGGAATCGCGTTGTGTTCGCGGCCTATACTTCCGTCATTGTTTATCTCACTGAATAAACAGTGAAGACGTTTTTCGTGTGTTATTGTGTGGTGTAGGTTGTACTAATATTACCTGGGATTGTGCTGGATAAATAAATATCTGCTTTGATGGAACTGGGGAACTAGTTTTACGCCGACAGCAGCCTGGATCTCACCCTGAAATAAGCAGACGTCAGAGACCTCGCCTGCTCATTGCTGCTGTTAAAATTTATCGCAATCCAATCAGCATTGTTTTGCGGGATTGCACTGCTGTTAGGTGCATTATGTAGCAACGCGAATGGTATGCTGGTGGTAGCTGTTGGACGTTTATCGGCTTTATAGTTTTAAACACCGTGCCTTGGCGGAAAGGAGAGGATTTCGTTTTATTTAAGGTAGCATGACGGGATCCTGAGCCATCGAGCTAGCTAGCTAGCTAACATTAGCACAATGATTAGCTAGGTAGCGTCATGTAATTGTAATGAATGGGCTGTTGCTTTGGTGTCTGTTAACTTACCCCGTGAGCATACTATGCAGGTTTATTACATAATGTATAGCAGACATTACATTAGTATTTAACGGACAAATACAGGTAGCGTTTGCTAGCTAGTCAACTATCCCCTATGGGCTGTGGCATAACATTGTGAAGCTAACTTGCTAAACGCTAGCTAACGTAGACTAATAAAACAGTCTACAAAGTCAGGGAAACATACTGTTGGTTCATTTATCATTGAGTCTTTAAATAGCTCACCAAAAATGCCTTCTGATTATAAATTTAGCCATGGTTTTGAGCCATAGTAGCATAGTCACTGTATTACTAGTCAAAATGCACTTTGTCCCGTGGTGCTTACTAACGTTATGTCATTGGTGTCCCTTTCACTTAGCAACGATCTAAATCTCACTATTTTGCTTATGTGGTGCTTTTATAATTGTAGTTGCAAAGTAACCCTCCTCTTTCTTAGAATATGCTTCATTACAGATGGCTGTGTTTTCTGTGCATTCCCTTATAAATGTAACGTGTTTTGGACTTGCAGTCTATAGTCTACTTATGAAAATCCCTTCTCATCTTTCTAGATCCGTGACAATGAATGACCAGCAGGAGGGTGGTGTGGTCCCCTATGATGAATATGTGCGGCAGAAGGCCCGCACTGTGCCTCAGCACAGGATGAAGGAGTTTCTGGACTCTCTTGCCAAGGGCCCAGATGTGCTGCAGGAGTTCGGCCAGCAGGAAGAGGCAGCCACCACCACAGCCATGGTGTACCAGCAGCAGGGTGCCAACTGTATCTACACAGACAGCACAGAGGTGGCTGGATCTCTCCTAGAGCTGGCTTGCCCGGTGAGAGGCATGCAGATTCTGAAAAATATTAACATGGTTCTCCGGTCTTGTGCTGTCTATTGTACTTTTTGCATATGTATGTACATGTTTTATGACAGGTGCAGGTGACCTCAGCAGAGATTTCACCTCAGCTGTCGGTGCATCAAGGATCTGAACAGCAGCTTCAAGTGCAGGTTAGTTAATATGCCCATATCAGTTTCTCATGTATAAACTGCAAGACAAGAAAGTCTGGCAGTATCCAGAAGCACAAAAAAAAACACACAAAGGCCATTTATTGTTCAAGTTACATTTAACTTCATTGTAACTGGAGTCCGGTAGCTTTTCTCTGATGAAGCAATTTAAGTATCTCAGAGTTTGTTCATGAGTTAGGGTACAATTGAGTGTGAGATTGACAGGCAGATAGGGGCAGCATCAGCAGTAATGCGGACATTGTACCGGACCGTCATGGTGAAGGAGCTGAGCCAAAAGGCAAAGCTCTCAATTTTCCCATCAGTCTATGCTCCAGTCCTCACCTATGTAATAGGTGATTGAAGTAATTACTGAATAGTAATGATTGAAGAAAATAAGATCGTGAATACATGCAGCCAAAATGAGTTTCCTTCACAAGGTGACCATACTTAGCCTTAGAGATGGGGTGCGGAGTTTGGATAGCCAGAAGGAGCTCGGAGTAGAACTGCTGCTCCTTCACAACGAAAGGAGCCAGCTGAGGTGGTTTGGGCATTTTATCAGAATGCCTCCCTTTGGAGGTCTTCCAGACATGTCCAACTGGTAAGAGACCCTGGGGTAGACCCAGAACACGCTTGGAGAGGTTACACATCTTATCTGGCCGGGGAATACCTTGGAATCCTGCCAGAGGAGCTGAAAAAATGTTGCCAAGGAGAGGGACGTATGGACTACCTTGCTGAACCTGCTGCCACTGTGACCCAATCTTGGATAAGAGGAAGAAAATGGATGGATGGACTATTTCACAGTGTGTCAGTGAACAGTAAGGTATGTTATTTCTTGATGTGTTTGATAACAGTTTTTTTTTTCCATGCTCTACATGTGTGCCAGGTTCAGATCCAGGAACAGCAGGGCCACACAGTTGGCCAGGTTCTTCAGGTGGCCTCCCCCTCCCAGCAGGACTTACAGGGAATCTCAACCGCCCAGCTTGTTCACCATGGAGAGCTCACAGAGGAGCAGCAGCAGCAGGTACAGTGTTCATTTCGGTCGCCCTCATCAAGTGCATCCCTGTGATGCATTTCTGCTGTTTTGTTCATGGTGCTGATTGTATTTACAGATACAGGCACAACTAGTTGCAGCTGTAGCTGGAGGACAACAAATCCAGCTGACAAGTGGCCAACAAATCCAATTACAAGGAGCACAGCATATTCAGCTGCCAGGGGGCCAGCAGATTCAACTTCAGGCTGGCCAGCAGATTCAGCTACATGGTGGCCAGCAGATCCAGATCCATACCATAGAGGCCATGTCTCCTTCCCAGCAGCAGGCCACTTCTAATGAGGCAGAAAGGAGGTCCGGCACTATCTCAACTGTTCTCCAGCCAGCCAAGAAGCGTAAGGTGGATGTCCCTCTTGCTGTTTCTTATGCCGTTCCACAGGGTCAGCAGGTAGCCACGGTTCTTGCCATCCCTCAAGGACAGCAGCAAAGCTACGTGTCCCTGCGACCAGATCTGCTCACTGTTGACAGTGCTCAACTGTACAGTACTACAGGAACAATCACAGGTCCCACGGGTGAGACCTGGACCATCCCAGTGTACTCCACTCAGCAACAACAGGGTGTAACTCACATTGCCATACCACAGGAGACATACAGCACAGTGCAAGTTACTACCGCCAATGGTAAGGAAAAAATTTCCCCCAGTTCCTCCTCAAGATCTGCAGATGTGCAGTTGTCCTCCACTGGGACACAGGAAGAAATAGTACAGACCCTGTTCCCAGCACAGTTCATGAACGGGAACATTCATATCCCAGTGGCAGTGCAGACTGTCGGAGGGACTTACAACACTACTGAGTCAGTACACATATGGGACCCAAATCAACAGCACAGCCAGGGAGAAGATGGACAGGAACAGCAGCTCCATCTGCAGGTTAGAACCAATGTTTTCCTTACAGCAGTATGGCTGGAATGGAATTTATCCTGTGCTTTGTGCCCTATTTTCTAAGATAAACTTTAGTGCTTTGATGAGAATGACAATCACGGCAGATGTGTATCCTTGTAGTCAGGAAATTCTAAAAACGGCACATTAAATCTACCACTTCTAAGTTGGCGATGTGTTTGAAACCTTTTAAATACTATGTTGTTATCCCTGATCTTGTTTGCTCTATGTTGCTTGGAAATAACACTTAAAAAATAAATAAATAACTTGCTTGTTTTTTGGACCTTTTTGGACAGACTGGTCTTGAAAAATAACACATGAAATAATAGAACTTCTTTAAACTACTAGGGGAATTATAATTGTGATTATTAAGATGCTTTATCCTGACTGCCTTCTGTCCCAGGAAGCATTAAATATGACTTTTACTTTGGTCTTGTGTAGGGTCAAGTAGAAACTGAGGCTCATGCTGTACCGCCTACAGAGATTTTGGTTCCTGTCTGTCTAAAGCCAGAGGAGGGCCTGGAGGTGTGGCGGCTTTGGGTGAAGCGAAAAAACGCAGAGCTAAGCAAGCAGGAAAATACGAAGCTTGCACCCATTGGACGTAAGTCAACTAATTTGAACACACGTTTCATATTTGACATTTGCCAAACAGTATTGATATATAACATTAGTGCATTTACTTAAACCACTGCAAGCGAGGGTTGCACGATTAATCGTTTTGTGAGTGTGATTTACATCCTTGTGCAGTTTTAGTTTCACATGACTGATTTTGCCATGTTTGCATTAGCACAGAGATGCTTTGCATCTAATCAAACGCTCCCTTTTCATCGCTAAGCTGCATTAGTCAATAACCACAAAGTGATTTATTTCTGGCTCAATTGCCATTCGGCACTAGGTGTACAGAGCAGGCAGCGCAATGTTTGAAAAATAGTTGCAGGAGGGAACAGAATATCTTTTGCAATGTCAGACATCTTGGATTAGTTTTTGAGTCAGTCTTCTCTTCCTGTCAACAGCTCGTCACTTGATGTAATCCCTTCCTGCTACGGGTTGATGCAGGTTAGCGAGAAAATGGAGAAAAGGGAGCACTTGGTTTTAATGTAGGGGATCTCACTGCTCATGCAAACACAGCAAAATCATTGTCACAAGACCGAGATCACACAGGGATCTAAATCACTCTCACAAAAATATTAAACATGCAACCCTGCCAGAAGCCATACATTTTTATTTTTTTCCTGATGTGTTAGCTGTTCATGTAAGATATTTAACTTTTATTGTGCTTAAAACTGTGAAGCATGTTAAATGTATAGCCCTAATAAAACTCTGCCTCTGGTCATGTCTCTATGACCATGTCCAGGTCGACAGCCCCTGCGTTTTCAAGAAGACTTGGTGTCCAGTGCAGTAGCCGAGTTAAACCTGGGTCTTTCCCTGATGACACAGGAGGCACGAGGATCAGAAGATGAACAGTTTGCACCCGATGTTCTGTATTACATCTTTTTGTGTATACAGAAGGTTGGTACCACCCTGCTCAAACATAAAGATGATGTAATATGCCAGAGGGCTATCTGAAGTTATATATGTGAATTTCCGTCTATAGTATCTCTCCGAAAATGGACGTGTGGATGATATTTTCTCTGATCCATATTACACACGCTTCTGTGAGTGTTTACACAAAATCTTGGAGGGTTGGAAACCCAGTATCCATCCGTTAGGTAAGAGAGAATCAAAATTTACACTTAAATGTTTTTAAATGGAAAGATTAGCTTATTGTGTGTTCTCACCTTAGGTTACATTATTCCAAGTCATGTGACAGAGGAGATGCTGTGGGAGTGTAAACAGCTTGGCGCGCATTCACCTGCCACTCTGCTCACAACTCTAATGTACTTTAACACTAAGTAAGTAGCCACTGCTCAGCACTAAAAGATCTGATTCTGCTTTTTATGATGACAGACATTTTAGATGTAAACACAATGTGGTAAAAATATATTTTTATCACAGGTTTTTCGGCCTAATAACACCTGAAGAGCACATGAAAGTAGCCTTTTCTAAGGTGTTAAGACACACGAGGAAGAACCCCGCTAATGTCAAGGACAAAGCCTCTAGTATCCGCCTTCTCAAATCACAAGGTTCACACAGTGTTGGACAAAAAGGTACTCAGTACAGTTAGTGTCACATTAAGGTCTGGTGACAGTAGAATTTGCTCTTGTGACCTGTTGCATGATGTGTCTTTCAGGAACTGATGACATGTACGAAGAGCAGGTCGAGGATCCTGAAAATCCTCTTCGCTGTCCCATTAAACTTTACGACTTTTACCTCTTCAAATGGTAAGTGGCACTCGATCACAAAAATCCAGTTTAACTGAATTATTCTTCACTCACAAAATATTTGACTCCCTTATCCAGTCCTCAGAGCGTTAAAGGCCGTAACGATGCTTACTACATGACTCCAGAGCCTGTCGTCGCACCCAACAGCCCGATGTGGTACTCATCTCAGCCCCTCACAGGTCAGCAAGTGGAGCAAATGTTGGCTCGTCTCATCGTGGTCCGAGAGATCCAGGACATCATCGGCACTGGTTCGGAGAACATTGGCTAGACTGAGAGTGAGTCAGTGATTGCTGGCTCTGCAGTACCCACACTGACTATAAATCTATCTCAAATAAAACGGAGTAACATCTGAAACAAGTTTCTTCTGAGGAGCATATCGTGATTGCACTCCATACATTTTCTGGTTTCAGTTGATTGGGTGGACCTGTCTCTTCTTTACTGCCTTTATAAGCCGTTGTCTCTGTAACCTCTGGACTGGCAATTAAGTGAGGCTTTAGCTTCGCTGCTGGATTATGATTGATATCTTGGGCTGCTGCTCCCTCAGCTGAGCAGAGGTGGTACTTTTTCAGATAAAAGTTCATTTTATCAATATAATTTAAAAATATTTAACCCTTAACACTTCTTAATCTTACAGTTAACCATGTCTTATGTCTCTTCGAGGTCCCATTATGATACATTAAGGTGGACAGATACCGGGACTCTTGCTCATGACTTGTTTTGTATACTGTCCGCGTTTTGGATCGTGTATCGACATGTTCAAAGCTGAATAACTCGTGCCTGGCTTTTTTTTTTTTAAATGACATTTATGCTTGTGGATCATTGAGCAAGTTGAACCTCAGATTTTCACAAGATCAAGTGCTATATTTTAGTCAGTCAGGAGACTGGAAACATTTCTCAGGTCAATGCTAGCCACTGAAACACCCATCTAGGATCTTTGGCAACATATTCCTATATGTACCTATGTATATGTAGTAGGGGTATTAAACAGGATATGCAGATTGAAGCATCTTTGTTTAGCTAATGCAATATCAAGACATGTCAATTTAAAAATGAAAAGTATTTAGGGCTGTGTTGTCTGTGGAAATGCAACTTATTTGAAATGCAGATTAGTTGCGGACCTTTTATATGGCTTGACTTCTTACATTAACAGCATCCATCACTTAGTGGTAGCTACAAAGAACTTACATGTGCATTAATGACAAATAGACGTAATATAGTTCTGCTTCATTTATCACTAAAATGTGTTTCTTACAACCATAGTCTTTTTCTACACAGTTTCTTCTGTTTGATCATTTTACACGACAGCCCCTCAAAAACCCAGCTTAATATAATTTTCCATTTAATTTAAATGGTTATAGAATAGAACAATATACTTTGTTGTCCCCATGGAGACACTTTAGTCTTTTTTTTCCCCATGAAGCAATGTGAAATCCTTCACAGCTGATGCCCACTACTTGCAGACATCCACTGGATTGCAGAGACAAAAAGTAAAGATGTTATTTATCCTCCTTTTCATCAGGAAGAGTTAGATGCAATCGTTTCAGTGTTTGTGTGAAGTATTTAGGCAGGGGACAAGACACGTTGATTTCTGCTTCACTTGCTCCTGGCATGATCAGCTGTCGAGCATGCAGATGCAGAGGAACATAGCGTGTTTTGCTCTGTTCCAGGCCGAGCTTTCCCAACACTCGTTCTGGTAATTTCTGTGGACAAAACGGTACTGTTTAGTTATTTAGTAACTGGTGACAAAACAGAAACCAAGCCCTTGTAGAAATGTGATCATCCTGTTCCGTTGGTACGTGTAATAATGTACCCAAGTGCAAACAACAAAAACTTCATTCCCATGTGAATGAATTAAAACATGATCAGAAGCTAATTGAAACTTAGGCAGGTTTGAGAATCACTGACACCATAAAAGCTGCTGTCACCGAAGCAAAATGTTTGCAATGTGGGAGGGAGATTAAAGTAGAGTGCACTGGCTGGAAAAGGCAATTGTGAGTAATCTCCAGGTGGACACCATGTTCCCACTATTACATGGTTTGAGGTCACCCTGTGTTCTGTGGTACAGTGTAAACATATTTTACCTGCGGTGCCAGTTTACTCCAATGGGAATATTTATGGTCACCAAGAATGGGGCATGACACAGCAAATGCCATGTGAACCCTCACCTGGTGCTTCACTCCTGAAAAGAAACAGAAAAAGCTGTGTCTGGTCTGCCCAAAGAGATTTTTACCAAGTTCATTTATCAGTAATTTATGAGTTTCCCAAAAGGACAGTCTTCTTTACCGGTAAAAGGCTGGAGTTCCACAAGGCTGCAACCGCTGTTGCTGTCCAGGACTCTGTACTTTGTTGCCGCAGAATGGGCTTCACGATGGCTCCGGACTTTGGTCACACCATCGCCTGCATCATTCATTCTGAAAAGGGGACTTAACGCCATCTGAAATTTTAAAAAGAAGCCATGAGAGTGGAAAAACTGTGTGTAAATAGTTTTACCATAACACCAAAACGAATCAATTTTATTCATTGACTAGTGTAGTAATTTACCTTCACATGTAACTAACCAATAAAGGTTAATGACTCATTGTCACTAACAGCAAAAAAAAAACTAAAATGTTCAATTTATACCATGATGCAAAGAAAAGGAAGGAACTGTTAGCATTTTTCAGTGAACTGATTTAATGACTAAAACCACAGTAGACGAGACACCTTGTAGTGTGGCTGAGGGCCTGTGACCTCTCTCTCTATGATGGGAATGTCGATCATTCCTTCAGATGGCACAGGCACACCGACTGTGATGACCCTGGGGAAGACCAGTGAATACGAGAATGACCGACAGACACCTGGATATAAATTGTGATATGGGGTGTTAACTAAATAGCGAGATGCACAGCTATTCTATATCCTCAAACTGTACCAGTATTTTCTCTGCACATCGTTGTTTCTCTGCATGTTACATATGTGCTCTACTGCCTCCTCACTCCTGGCTAGTAGGAGAGCTCCTGTTGCCTCCTTCTCCAGTCCCAGACAGGGGAACAGCTGAGAGTCAGACTTGATCTTCATCCCATCCATCATTTTGGAGAGGACAGGAAGCACAGAAGCGATGGACATGACCCCAGTGTCATCTGACAAACAGCAACGACAACAACAAATTATATACTCTCAATTCAACTTGGAATTTAACTTTTTTGCCAATATTCAATAACTGAAATTGTTATTGGAGACACCTCCAGTATTGATACTCCACAATGTCAAGTTTAGATACCAGCAGTCTACTACAGCCCTATGTATAACAGCAAGCTGATATAATCAATAATGACTTGTCTCAGACATGGCCACATACAGCATTTATTATCATAACCTGATGAATCACAGGGCCTTCAAATAGCTTTTTTATTTGCTCAAAAAACCACAACAATATTTAATTTATAGTGACAAAAACTGAAAAAAGCTTAAACAAATAGACAATTAACTGATCAGTCAATTAACAAAATGTTATTTAACAAATATTCACAAAAACTATGCTTATTAAACTAAAATCACCAAATAGCTGCTGGTCCCACTTTTTCAAATATGTGTATTTCATTGGATTGTTGGCTGGGCAAAACAGCACATTTCAAGATGTTATACAAGGTCTCAGACATTTATCTAAATTTTTTTTACAATTCATAAATTACGTCATTAATTAAACAAAGTAATCATTTGGTTAATCGATAATGAAATTCATCTTCAGCTGCTTCCATAATGCTGAAAAAGGCAATAAATTTCGACATTTGTGAATCTGAAATCAGACATTTATTGGCATTTTTACTTGAAAATGACCATTTTTTCTGTAGATCAACTAATCGATTGTTTCATCGTTTTAATTAAATATTTTTCCCAACCACATCCCACACATTCCAGGCTGTTTTACTGTTTTACAGCGGTGAAAATTAAATCAGCGTAAATGTGTAATTAGACGGCCCTTGCTGATTTACCTCGGAGGGGGACACCATAGGGCTTATTGATGACAACTACATCTTTATCCTGGTACAGCACGCCTCTGTGGAGGTATTTGGCCAGCACGTTGGGGTGAACATTTTGAAGCTGCAGACTTGATCGTTTCAGCTCCATCACTCTCTTCTGTTGGGCGGACATCGGTGCCTCTGTAGCATGGGGGTTCGCCTTCTCCTTCTCCTTCTCCTTCTCCTTCTCCTGCTGGATTTTCCTGGCCAGGTCGATCGCTCTCAGCCGGGGCTTCTCTTCTGTGTCGGAGCCCGGAGCGTGTTCGGTGGCGGTGGCCTGGCCCCGGCTGAGGCATGGCGCTACCTCCGGACACTGGCGGCAGTTTGTGCACGGTTTGAGCAGAGGGAGAAAGGTGTTCAAGCCGGAGCTCCATTTGCTGGTACGGAATATTTTTCTACAGCTGTTCATAGCTTGCGGCTAGCTGACAGTAGCCTAGGGAAACAAACTCAAAGGAAACACGCGCTGCTCTCCATAAAATTACTTCCTGGTCGCGCCTTTCAGAATAAAAGTGTTAAAAGTTTATTTTCCACAAATACAGAATAACTCATTTGTGATAGTTTTAACGTGGATTTTGTTACACTCGTTCAGTGAAATAAATGCATGATTTGAATTTAATATATAAGCTGCTTCATTTTCTGTTTTAAAGGTTATTAACGTATACCATGCATTTAGTCTGAAGGTTACAGTCCTAAAACGTGGACGATAGTTTCATCTGTGTGAAAGAAGGAACAAAGAACGCCAATATCTGAATTAACAGATTAAGTGCATCTATGCAATATTTACAAAGAGACCTCTGACGCCGTATTTAAAACAAAAACATTCATTACCGTAGGCGTGTTTCAATAGTATGAATACAAAACATTTTTCGTGGTGTGTCGTAATTTCCTTTTTATCTTACAGTGTATACTCGTTTTTTACTCTACCACTGCTCGGCCCTTTGAAGCAACTGGATATAATGGTGATTGTAAAACACCGCCCACACGGAAGGTTACGACATATATGTGTGTATATACACACGGACGGTATCCTTTTTACCTCAGGATTTGTATTTTGTTGTAAATTGCGGTATTTTGTTGTTTTATTGAGAATATAAGCAGCGAATTCGCTTCAGATATCCAGAAATACAGGACCCATTCATTGTTTAAACAAATTAACAACAGAATTTACTCTCAGGCGCCATTAAAAGATAAACAACTGTTTGGTTTTACACAGTAACGTGAACTATACATCTTCAGGCATGAGGATCACAGACCGCGTATTACGGAGTTTCAGGGTTGCTCGGACATATAGAGAGAATTCACAGAAAGTCAACTGTGTGGACTATAGCCCAAACGGTGAAAATGCAATATCAAGCAGCGACGACGATTGCATCGTGTTATATGACATCCAGGAGGGAAAGTAAGTAACCAGTATTTACACCAGTGGTTCCTGTGTAAATAACTGGTTGAGTAATCTCTATTTATAATGCATTTACAACCTAAATGTATGTTTGACATTAGGTGAAGGTCTATGGCCTATGTGTTTTTTAGAAACTAGTGATGGAGAATAGAAGAGCTGCATGTTAACTGGCACCAGGTAAACAAGTGATTGGGGTTTATTATTCTCTGTCCTCTCTCAGACCCAAACGGACCCTGTTCAGCAAGAAATATGGAGTAGACCTCATCCGCTACACTCATGGAGATACACAGACAGTGGTCTACAGCTCAAACAAACTAGATGGTAATAACTCAGTACTGAATGTCAGCTGTTGGCACCAAGCACCCAGTCAACAACAAGATGGGAAATAGAATTCAAATGCATGTGTTATACTCAAATTTTGGACTCAAAGTGTGGTTTTGTGTCTTGTAGATACCATTCGATATCTGTCTCTCACTGACAACAAGTACATCCGTTATTTCCCAGGTCACACTGCGAGGTGAGTACATGTGACCACCTAAACCACAAGGACTCCAAAGAAGAATAGGAGAATGTAGTGTCAGATACACGGGGGTGCAGGTAGAAAAAAACAGTTTATTTTGCTAAAGAATGTAAACCCCCTGTCATGTGCTGGGTAGAGAAATACAAGCAGAAGAACTGCATGCATTTTTGTTCTCCAACACTTGTGGCCCTCTCACTATACTAAACCCAGAAGCAACAACATGCTTGTTAAGTGTATTTCAAATCCATTATCTATACCTTATCTTAATATGCTAATTAAAATGTTCACATTTACGCACATATATTTTACAAAGTTGTAGTCTTAAAAATGCATTCGTGCACAGCATAAATCTGGAATATTATTATATTTACTTCTGTCCCAGCAACTAGTTTTACAGTTCTCCACATTCATCCTTAGGTTTGACTTCCTTTTATCTGGTCTTTTCTAGTCTCATTGGAGCTTATCTTTAATGGTTCTTTATACCTTAATGGTTAAATTTAGTTTATGTTGTTGTTGTTGTTTTCAGAGTTATTTCTCTCTCCATGTCACCAGTGGATGATATGTTTGTCTCAAGTTCATTGGATAGGACGATCCGGATCTGGGACCTGCGCTCTCCAAACTGTCAAGTGAGTGTCTGTGAACAGGCTGGAAAATTACTTCCTGTGTTTTCTGTAGGCAATAACTGAAATGTATAATTACACCTCCTGCAAAAAAACAAGCTATTGTATAACCTATTACTAACATCTGTCCTTCTGACCACTGGGTGTCCCCAGACCAGCTTTGGGAACCAGACCTACACTTGGATCAGCTCTCTCATAAATTTGGACCCACACACAGTAGTTAAAAACAATTTTGAAGAATGTTACATTTTTCAAAATGTTATGAACAAAGACTAAATGGAAGGAAAGACATTAACATGTACAATGTATGATACAGACACAACTCATAAATTAGGAAGACTGAAATATGGTGTTGGCACTTTAACATATGTCAGTTAAAATCCCCAATTTTTGTTGCTACATCTTACTTTTTTAAATTTATTTTGTGTGTTTGTATTTCAGGGTCTAACTAATCCACTAGGAAAGCCTGTATGCTCCTTTGACCCTGATGGACTGATATTTGCTGCAGGGGTGGACTCACAAGCCATTAAATTATATGACCGCCGTGCTTTTGACAAGGTAAAATTCATTGTGTTAACAGTTGTGTTTGTACTTAAATACCATCATAAAGTTGCTGTTTTTTCTGACATTTCTTTTTTTTAATATCTGTGAAAAGGGCCCATTTACCACCTTTGAGACCAAGTTTAACAGACATCGTGTCTGTGACTGGACAGGACTCAAGTTCAGTAATGATGGGAAAATGATTCTCATCTCTACAAATGGAGGGATGGTTTGTGTCCTTAATGCGTTCACGGGCTGTTTGGTGCACACCTTTTCTGTAAGAGACATACGTACAGTACTTAAATCACATTGCCACAAACCTACTGAATCATATCTGTTTGTGTATTAGTACAATTACTTTCATGTAGCTGAAGGTGTTCCTGTTTTCCCACTTGAAGGGCTACAACAACAGTAGAGGCATCCCGCTGGAGGCCTGCTTCACTCCTGACTCACAGTTTATCATGATCGGTCAGTTAAAATACCTCAGCCTTATATTTGCGTCTCTTCCTGTCAGATTTCTGTTGTGACTGTTTTTAAATGTGTCTCCCTGTGCAGGCTCAGAGGACGGGAGAGTCCATGTCTGGAGCACTGACAGTGGGATGAAGGTGGCTGTGCTGGACGGGAAACATTCAGGACCCATCAACACTCTGCAGTTTAATCCCAGATACATGACGTTTGCCAGTGCCTGCACTAACATGGTGAGACGATTGAACACCAAATCAGCTGCTACTGGACGTAACAGCTAAGAACAGAGTACTGATTTTTACTTTCTTCTTTGGTTCTCTCAACAGACATTTTGGCTCCCGTGTGTTGATGATTCATAGCGGGACGTTGCCAGAGTGAGTCCTCAAATAACACGAGGGATACCCTTCTGTGTTAGACTGCCATTTCTGGCATATCAAGAACCATGTGGCCTAATAGTATTTTGGAAAGAAAACATGTTTTTTTTATACTTTAGGTTAGATATTTTGCAAACAGTAATTTTAAGGGCTGATGCCATTGTGACAACAAAAAACTAACTCCAGCATACCTCCTATTCAGAGCTGTTTTTTCCACAGTTCAAGTACATTTAAAGTCAGTTAATATTTTTTACTCAGTTTTTTCATATTTTATGTACATTGTAACTAATTCATAATTGTTTAAAGATTTGATAATAAACTTTTAAAAAGCTAATAAGAGTCACAGTGTTTCACCCAATTTTTCCATACCTACTTTTGTCATGCATCATATAAATCTTGTTATAGTGAGTCCTAAAACATGGCACTGAGTTAGCATATGTGCACTTCTGGTTCCCTCAGCCTGAAGTCAGTGAGTTTTTTTTTTTTTTTTTACTTAAAAGTCTAGTTAACACAAGGCCAAAACATTTTCACGTATTGCTCTATGCAATAAAATATGTCAGTAAATACCCCACTTGTGATTTTTGTTTATCTTTTTACATGACTTAAATAAGGTGGTTGCTAACAAGTGGCTAAATGAGACTACAGAGGCTGTCTGGAATATTGCACGTCACCACAACGAACATGGAAACATCTACTCACTAGCCCACCTTTACTCATTATTTCTAAACTTGCCCCACTTGCAAACTATTCTAACTAAGAGACGCAGCCATGATCACTACCTGGATCAGGTCACGCTAAGAGGAAAGGATTTTGTAGAAGAGAAAAGCACTATAGATCAAATTACAAGTTGGAAACCGTGGTGGTGACGCTGAAGTCGTCGGACCGTGGTGTAATTTATTTATAGACTTAACAATAGCTTTTCACTTCTGGTGACCGTATTTGGTCTTAAAAAATCTTACACAAGTTGTGTTCAGTTGTGAAGATTATCTTGCTGAACAAAACATGCAAGTGTCATAAACTGTTGCTTGTCAGAGATCTTATTTTCTGCAATAATCCAAAGGTTTATGGAAAAATCCCACTGGCTTTTTGTTGAGGGAACCAGGGCGATGCTAACTTCCGGGCTGTCCTACAGAAAAACATCATCCCTATGGCGCTCTATAGATTACTACGTCTGCTACTGACAGTCATTTTCTTTATAGAATAATTTGAGGTTCTTTCCTTTGTATTAATCAGTTATTTGTTTTAGAAAAAGTTAGAAAATGTTGTATCACAATTTCCCAAAGCCCATAGAGACTTCTTCTTATTGCTGGTTTTGTCCAACCAATAGGTCCATTCAGTTTACTGTCACATAAACCAAAAAAGAAACAAATAATCACAATGGAGGAGCTTGATTTTGGAAAAATTAGGTAATTTCTGCTTGAAAAATGACAACGGGTTATTAATTGGTAATGGTTGTGGATTTTCCTGATTAATCTGCTAATCATTTCAGCTTTATACAGTACCAGTTAATGGGATAAAAAAAACATTTCTGTGTATTATAAGATTCCACAAGTTGATGACAACCGTAAACATGGTGAATAATACTGACTCCTTACAAACTGATCTGTTTCCGAACATTATAGGATCCGTGTGTTGGTGGCTCATATAACAGTGACTCATCACTTAGGGAAGCTCACCGAACAAATGCAAACAGAAGTTCACTCCATCAGTAAACCAATCTGTGAACATACCAGCGAGCGTGAGAGAAATGCTGGCAGCTTTAATCAGTCTGATGAATGGGTGTTTTTATCTTTTTTGTGCACCTAAAGTGTGTCTTCCTGAAATCAGGGGGTGGGGGAGGGGTCTCTGTTGAATAATGTATAGATGCTTGGGTTGTGTACTCACCACTGAGTGAATAATGGATGATCCCATTACAGGTAACCTCACAGGTACACACTTATCTTTCTCTCACCCACCTCCGAGTGTCTGCGTGTGTCCACATAAAGTGCGTGGAGGGAGAGACAGATGCATAAGTTGTGATAGTTTAAGGAACTGGCACTCAGATTTTCACCCACTTAACTTTTCACATGCAGTTACTCCCCCCCCCACCCACATTATCATCCTGTGTGTTATCTCAGTGACTGTATTTATTATTTTGTGTGTGTGTCATTAGCCAGTAATAGGTCTATACACAGGCCATTCAGTAGCCAGTTCTTCCCGTTCTTACACTTTGGAATGAATTGTGTTTGTATCCTTCCACAACAAACTTAACATTTTCATATTTTAACAGTGGTAGCACAGATGTCGCTGGAGGAACCTGTCTTGTATTTTCATCAACTTTTAATTGCAACCTTGTCGTTCAAAATGCACAAAATGTACTGACCACAAATACTTGAAACCCCCTACAGTTTGTCTAGCAACAACGTTGAAATGTAGCGGTCAGATTCTTGCTTAGTGTCACATTTCTATGAGAAGGTGTCTGGAATTTGAGATCATGCAGCTGATCATCCACCCTGTGTGATGGAGTGATAAAATGTCATTACATGAGGCACACTGATAGTGTTTGAAAACGTGGTGCTGATGCCATGAGCGGTGTGTTTCTGTACAGCTCGGTTTGTCCCTCACACCCTGGACATTATATAGCCTGGAAGAGGTACCCCCTCCCCCCCACCGAGACTTTTTAAAGTTGTGGTCATTGATACGCAAAGAGTTTTAGATCAGTGGTTAGGGTGGCATATCCACTGACAGGCACGTTATTACTCATCAGCCACTGTTCCGCAGATTGTATTTCAAGTGTTAGGAGTCTCCCGAGTCACCCTCGAGGCGTTTATGTCAGTGGTGGGTCCGTCTGTCTGCCATCAGTGGAACGGCAGCCTATCTGCTGAGCAAGAAGAGCGAGGACACAGAGACCTGAACCTGGTCCTTCTTGCAAGAGAGGAGTGTGAAGCTGTGAAAACTGACTGCCAAAAGATGTCACACCAAACTGGAATTAACGGTATGCTCAGTTTGTTTTTGTTTTGTTTTTAAGGGAAACTCTGTACATGTTCTTAAAGCAAAAGACTACGAGTGTCTCATTCTGTTTTAGTCAAATTCAGTTTAGTTGCTTTTACACATTTTCTTTTTAGCTTTTGAGCTGTGCCGGTGCTAATAACGTCATCACAATCTCACTGATGATATGCACTGGTGTTTTAGGTTATCCTCTAAAAAGGTGCTCAAAGATCATCCAGACATGGTCACTTAAAGTCAACCATTTTACCTGTAGCCAGTATAATTGCAGACTCTGAAAGCTATACATTTTAAGATTGTAAGCCTGTTTTACACTGGCTCATAAATAAATTTTTTGTCTTTATTGTGATCATGATATCTAGCACCTACAAACATTTATTGACATTTTAAGTGCTACATACGTGCTGTATGTGTTATGGCATTTGGTAATTGGAGCTTAGGAGGACAGGTTGGCGGAAGCATACCTCTCTCACCTTTCTCACCTGATCTTGCATCATTTATGAGGCCACAGTGTTTGGTAACCATGGCGAGAGAGAAGAAGGGAGTTAAACGGAGAGCTTAATATTGTTTTCACTAACAATCGACCCTTCAACGTTTTGAAAATTGGGAAACAGTGAGGTTTATTTATCCTTCAAACTCAAAATTTTTCAGTGATCATTTCATACATATGTACCCTGTCTGAGTCTCCTTAGGCGACAATGTGACTATCTGGCAGTGGATCAGATTTTTTCCTTGAAGTGGAGTCTCAGGTTCTTACTTACCCAACTCTGTCTCTCTTGCTTTCAACCCCCCGTCCTCAGTTTTGACTTGTCTCTCTCATATCTGGTTACTTTAGCAACACCTGAGCTGAAAGAGTTTCTGGCCCGAGCAAGGGGAGGTTTCTTCAGAATAATGAAGATTGTCATCAGAAATGGTAAACACACTCTGTTTCTCATATTCAAAAGGATTTGACACAAGTAAACCTAAAACCTGAGATGTGTTTGCTCATACACGTTTTTGTCCACAGAGGAGTTGGTGCTAGATTTGTACAGAGAGCCTGCACAGAGCTGGGACAAAGACTATGATCAGTTCTTGGTTCCTCTGCTCACGCCTCAAGAGCCGTGTTACATTCTCTACCGCCTGGACTCCCAGAATGCACAGGGATATGAGTGGATCTTCATCGCCTGGTCACCTGACCAATCACCAGTATGTCGTCACCGATCAACCAATTTCAATATTAGTCATTTCTCAGACGTTACTGTAAACTAAGAATAAGACACATTTACTTACTTATTTTGTCTATTTGTAATATTATCATGCAATTTAAACATAGGTAACATTTTAAAGTTACTTTTTATGTGTAGGTAAAACCAGACTTACAAGCTTGGACTTTGATTGTGGTTATTGTTACTAGGCACATAAATTTTAACATTTTAAAAAAGCATTTATTAATCACTCACCGGCCACTTTATTAAGTACACCTGCACAATTGTGTGCAATTCAGTGCAACACTTCGGTCTTATCATCTGTGTTTATGAAGCTCAAGAAGATGTTTCAGTTTTTGGTGAAATTGTCATAAATGTATAATTTCAATTATATGTTTATTATTGAGGTCATACCTAAAGGTGGTGTTGTACTGGACTACATTACATTCAGAGGTGTCTATATTTTTTTTGTCCTTTCCAGCTTCATGAGGGGGTCTGAATGTAATGTAGTCCAGTACAATAGAATTTATACATTTATGACAATTTCACCAAAAACTGAAACATTTTGAGCTTCATAAACACAGATGTTAAGGTGGACGTGTTGCACTGAATTGCATATAATTGTCCAAGTGTACCTAATAAAGTGGCCAGTAATGGTTTATGTGATAAAATCGGTGCACATCTCCTGCACTGAAGTTCATTTGGATGCTCTGCCTTATAGAACAAATGTATCTGTACTTCCCAAAGAACAAATTCAGGCAAAGGGGATAAAACACCATTCATGTCACGTACTGACCCTTTGGATGCTTTGATGAAGGCCTCATGCAAAAATACATCATCACATTTGCCACCTTACTGACTGCAAATAACTTTACCCAAAAAGTCAGCACGAGGTGATCTTTTTTCTTTCTTATTTATATGGTATTACACCTGTGTTAAATTATAACTACAATCAAATATACAATAACTAGATAAGAAATGTAAAAAAAAAAAAACAAACCTAATCCTACAAGTATACAGATATCACCCACACACTCAACACAACACAACCCACAGAAATACTAAAACAGAAGACTACAGGAATCCAAAGCATGAAAAGCCTTCCTCCTGTATGTTGTGACAACCTCTAGGTGAGGCAGAAGATGATGTATGCAGCAACCCGTGCCACACTGAAGAAAGAGTTTGGAGGAGGTCACATCAAAGACGAAATGTTTGGCACAGTCGAGGTTGGTAAAATCCCCTCAATATGAAAACCAGTGAGTGAGTGAGTGAACGTTCTTCTGCTGGTGACAGGGTACAACCCGGATGGTGTCTGTTTATAGGAGGATCTGTGCTTCCAGGGGTACTTGCGACACTTATCCTCCCGTGCCTCTCCAGCTCCACTCACAGCAGCCGAACTGGAATTACAACGAATTAAAGTCACAGAGGTAGAGCTTAAACTATATACACTGTCTGAATATGATATGAACTGCTTACCTCACATTTTATTTATGTGTATTTATTGTGTATCTTTGTACTTTTTTTCCTGCAGGATAAAGTTGTATGGGTATGTATATTTTCCTCTTGATATAAATTCCAGTGTGTGTGCATGAAAAAGAAAGAGGACAGATTTAAAAACGGTTTCATATTTCTGCAGGATGAACGCAGACGAATTGCAACTCCAACAGCACGAGCGAAGGTTTGTTCAGTTCTGTGCACAAATTTTATTTTTTGACTTTCTGGTATTTAATTTTTTATTATGTGTTAGGCATAAAAATATATAGGCACAGTGTTCTCTATGTTTTGTTGATCGTGCAGGTTACAATGGAGTTTGGCTTAGACAAAAGGGTGCAGACTCTTCAGGGTCTTGCATTTCCATTACAAGAAGAGACCAAACGAGCTCTGCAGCAACTCAAGCAGAAACGCATCAACTACATACAGCTGGTGAGCCCTAACAGAAGCCTGTGTTTATTACACAGTGTGCAGCATTTAACATACCCCCTTTAAAAAAACAAGCTATAATGATCTATTTTTTAAACAGACTGTGCATCAGCATTTGTCACTGAAACTGACTGTGCATGACTTGACCACTGAACAAAGCTTATTTGTGTATGTTGTATTGCAGAGGCTGGATGTAGAGAAGGAGACCATTGAGCTGGTTCACACCAAACCTACAGAAATTCACGAGCTTCAATACAGGATTCCTACGGATTCCCCCAGATACCACTTCTTCATCTTCAAACACTATCATCAGGGCCAGCTGCATGAGGCTCTGGGTCAGTACACAGTCCTGCTGATGGTGTGGGTGCAGTGCTGGGCCCAGGGATGGAAATTCACATTAAGTTCTCTTCTTATCAGTTATCATATAAAAATGTCAAGTGATATGATTTTTCTATCTATTTTCAAGAGAAGGGGTAGATCAATGTGGATTTTATAGGAATAATAATATTAAAAATCATTTAAATTAGTTTTTTGTTAAAAGAGTTTTTCAGAAAAAGAATAAAAGAGGTTTTCCATCTCAATTAGGTATTTTATCAAAAAAAATGAAGTCATATATAAGAAGAAACAGATACACTCCACCTGCACTAAACTTCATTTGGGTGTTCATTTGGTATATTTGTCTTAGAATTTCCATAACCTCACCTCCTTGTCAGGTAGCATCACGCGGTTGTCCCAGCTCCAAAATTAAACAATTTTTATATTAACAGTTGATCAAATGTCTACTGTATATACAATGTGAAAGGGTTCATTTTTAATGACAAACAGAGAATTAGTGTATTTCTGGACTGTGCTGTTAAAGGAGAGTAAATACTGGGCTTACATTCATCAGGTGTGAACAAAAATGACTCCAAATAAATGCTAATATTGCTCCATATTTGCAGGGTGTGTAAATAGACAACAGTTTACTATCACATTAGCCATTTCAACTTTATAAGGCACTGACTCTTTATGTGATGTGTTTTCAAGTTCTTCCACTGCCCTCAAGTGGCTAAAAAATATAATTAATTGCAGCTTTCAGACAAAATTCATCTATTTTTTGCAGTGATTGTATGTCATTTACTAAACGTTTCAAAACAAATACCTTTGAGCATTTTCAACAGAAGTACTCCTACATCTGTTTGATTAAGGTCCAGTGAATTTCCCTTAGGATGCTCGAGTGCTGTAAGCTGCACCACCTGAGACAGGTTTCTATGTTCACAGTCTAAAGAGAAGTAGTTAAAACTGATCCACTGAACTTGCAAATATCAGCCACTTAACGGATGATGTGTCTTCCAGTGTTCATATATTCGATGCCTGGGTACACCTGTAGTATCAAGGAAAGGATGTTGTACTCCAGCTGCAAGAACAGGCTATTGGATGAGGTGGAGAGAGACTACCAGCTGGAGGTCACCAAAAAGGTGCGGGTTTGTTAAGATCACCCACTTACAAACTGACTAACACACACAGTCAGTTTTTTTTTTTATCACTAAAGGTATAATTTATACAAACTGTTAGAGTAGCAATTCATCTATTATTCTGTGTGTCTGCTTAGATGGAGATAGACAGTGGTGACGGCCTGACAGAAGACTTCCTGTATGAGGAGGTCCACCCAATGGAGCACACCTTAAAGCAGGCCTTTGCCAAGCCCCGTGGACCAGGAGGAAAAAGGGGAAATAAACGGCTCATCAAGGGTGTGGGGGAAAACGGGGAAGACAGTTAGACACAACACACAACCTGACCCAATATCTATGAATTGACTTGTTATTTGACAGTTTAGCTCCTAGCCATTCTCTCTTTATTCATACTTGAAGACAAACATTTCATACTACACGTAAGAGGAGAATAAGATGATCTGAAAGGGAATAGTTT